GGCATCTGCCAGACCCATGAGCAGCAGTGCGTCACCCTGTGGGGGCCAGGTATGTGGTCAGTGCTGGGGAGCCACTGGCCAGCTATGGGGTGAGGGGGAACCGTTGGGCTGGGGGCTGGGGGAGTCACTGGCCGGCCTCTGAGCCAAGGGGCTTGAGGACTGCTGGGCTGTAGGGCATCACTGGCTGGCCTCCCCGTGGGGCGTGGAGCTTCATTGGCCAACCTGGGAGCCATGGTGCTGGGGGACCACAGGACCGTGGGGCAGGGGCATCACTGGCCAGCCTCTGGGCCATGGGACTGGGGAACTGCTGGGCCATAGGGTTGGGGGGCATCACTGGCCAGCCTCTGGGTCGTGGGGCTGGGGTAACAGGTGGTCCATTCCTGCAGCTCTCTGGAGTCTCTGATCTAAGAAGCTTTCGGAGAGTTTACTAGTGGGGAGCTGTCTACAGGTGGGGCTACAGGTGTGCTAGGCACTAGGTGGACACACCTCTGAGCCTGTCCTGGAGGGACACAGGGCAGTCCAACAACAGATGTGAGAGCAGCTGGTGGATGCTCCTGGGATGACCGAGCTGAGTCAGCCACCGTCCCCACCGTCAGACAGCTTACAATGTGGTCACTGCAGTCAGAGGGGCCGGAGGGCTACATTGGAGAGGCCCTGAGTGGACTCAGTCATGAGTAGGGAAAGGTGATGACAAGGTCCTTTGGGACCCAGGCAGAAGCAAGCTGACATTTGGGTGGAAAAGCACATGCATGGGAGGGACAGAGCTGGGTGTGGCATCACGGCCACCAGGGCTCTGGGCAGGACTCTGAGGTGGTGTTAAGGCCCCAAGTGCCATTTTGATCTGAGTGATCTGAGTTCCAGAAGGAGCCCCAGGTGGGAGGGCAGCCAGTCAGAGAAAAGCAGCTGTTGGGTCAGCAGCTGTTGTGGGAGGCACTGGCCCGGTCAGCACTGCTATCTTCTGACCCTCCGCCATTCCACTATGGATGGCAGCCCACAGAGGGACAATGACTGCAGTCCTGCACAAGGCACAGCAGGAAATCCAAGGTGGGAAGTCCGCTCCCCCAGAGCAGAGATGTGGGATTCCACCCTGCCATCAAGACATGTGTCACCCCTGAATGGACCCCCATAGTGGCCCCGTAGAGCAAGGTCTTAAACTAAAGAGCGATCAAAGTGTAGACTGAATGAAAGCTTGGCTACAAGAGGGGAAGGACCCATCCCATGTGTCTCCCTCCTCTGGGGTTCAGAGGTCCAGAGCCAGGCCAGGCAACCCAGGATGACCCCAGACTTACTCCACTGGCTTGTCATCCCAAGACCCGTCCGTCTCCAGCTCCCAGGACCCAAGCCCTGCTCCACCGAGCTGAGCCTTGGGACCCGTTAGGAGCCTGCTGCTTGTCGGTCTCCAGCTCCCAGGATTCCTGCCACAAATCCCATGAGAACATTTTCTGAGCATATGGTCCCCACCCCATCTTAAATTCTTTTCCCTCGTTCCTTTACCTCCCCATGGCCCTGGCCAGGCCATGGTGGTCGGTTGGGCCCGACAGGAGCTGTGCAGAGAGACAGGCTGATGCAGACCTCACAGGACTTCCATGAGGTTTGGTTTCAGGGGATCGTGAGGGAAGCCCCCCCGAGCAGGGAGCTGCAGTGAAGCCCAGGAGCTCGGGCGTTGTCTCTAAGTGGGCAGTAGCCCCAGCGTGGAGGACAGGACAGGCATTTCTTGGGGCTGGGTCCCACTGTGGAGCCCACCAGCTTAAAGATATCCTTCAGAACTTGGAGCTTCCTCGGGTGGGAGACGACGCAGTCTGGATGCTGTGGTGAAGGCCTGGAAGAGCCCATTTGTGTGGCGCTCTGAGGAGGTCCTCAGCTCTCCTCTGGCTTCACACACACACACACACACGTGCTTGGGCAGGTGGGAAGGGACATCTGTGGTTCCTGGGACGTGGTGCTGCCTCAGTGGACCCTGACCCGCAGCCAGGCCCGGCGAGGCCCTCCAGGCTAGGGAGGAGTCTTACATCTTGCATTATGTGGCTGCCTCATGGTGACAGGCGCAAAGCAGGCACTTGGATGTCCCATCATTATATAAGCTCTGGGTATGTGTTTTAGCGACTTCAGACTCTTTTGGCTGACACAGGCCAAGCCTTTGTGGCTGAAGCATCCTTGGGGCAGACCTTAGCCCAGTCTGCTCTGGAGACGTCAGACTCCCTTCTTGAGTTACAGAGACATCACAATACTCCTTCTGGCGTGTTCTGTGGCCCCAGTGCACCAAGCACTATAGGTGGAGTGTGTCCTCCGTGCCCTATTATATTGTCACAGCTGGCCCCATTTCCAAAGTGAGGTCAGTGTGACTCCACGCTCTCTGAGCCCTGCCACTGTGTGACTCAGCTGATTGTGCAGCCATGGTCCTGGTGGCCAAGGCCATCTCATCTGACCAGTCCTTCACCAGAGAGAGTGTGAGACACACAGACGGTTGGACTCATAGGCTAAACTCTTCAGAACAAGAGCAGTGGGCCGCACCCTGATCTGGGCCATCAGTTATTCTTGGAACTGGGAGTGCCTGGCGTCTGAGCCCCTCTCTGCTAACCACCATCATCTGGTAATGGAGGATGCCTTTTGCTGGGAGCAGTGTACCAGGTGGGCAGTGAGAAGGACTCGCTGCTGGGACTCAGAGTTCCTGGAGAGGCAAACATGGCCCCAGACGTGGGCCACCACCTCGGTTCCCCATTCCACAGGTTTCATTGTCTCTCTGTCAACCCCATCTTAGTACTCCCAGTCACCACCCAGGCTTCCTCAGAGAGAACAGCGGCACGGGTGCCGGGGCTGCGCAGAGTGGGTGTTAGCGGCCCCTCTGCAAACACGCTGGCTCCTTTTGCTCCACATCCAGCAGCTGCCCAGTCGTCCTACATCTCGAGGTATAAACTTCCTCTGGTCACTGTAGCCAACTGCCACCAGCTGCGGGGCTTGTAGTTGTTAGAGTTCTAGAGGTCCAAAGTCCAGACCTGTCAGCAGGCCGTTCTCCTGCAGGCTCCAGGACAGCCTGTCTCCTTACTGGCTCCCATTTCTTGGCACCTCCCACACTCCTTGGCTCATGCCTTCCCCATTTTCAAAGGCAGCCATGCGGCATCTTCAGAACTCTCTCTGACTCAGACTCCCCAGTCTCTCTGATGAGGATTCATGTGGTGGCACTGGGCCTGCCCTCAGAGTCCAGGCTACTGTCTCAAGATCTTTGACTGAGTCACATCTGCAAAGTCCCCTTTGCTGTGAAAGGTAACGTTCACAGGTTCCCAGGTGTGGTAGTTAAGGTTGTGTGTCAACTTGGCTGGGCCTGGTTGAGTGCCTGGGCAGCTGGAGGTAGTTACTCTCCATGGTGAAACTGGCAATCAGCTCCATGATGGGATCTACCACAGGCAGCTGAGTAGCTGCTTTGGGTCATTGGTCTGCTTCCCGTATATAAGCAGCAGCTTTGGGAATGGTCTCTAGTTTATGGCACGCTTGGACCCTGCATGTAGCCATGTCGTTGTTGAGCAGGCTGCCATGCTCTGCCGACCTTAGGACTTCATCTGGACTTGAATTAATGGCCTGCTGTGTGGTTTGGTAACATCGGGACTGTGCCTTTTTACTTGTCAACCGTGGGCTTGGCTTGTCAGCCTCAGCAGCCAGCAGCTATCTGAGTGAAGAAAAGCCTCCAACTTCAGTGGGCCAGGACCAGGAGGCAGAGCTGAAGCCCAAGTTTGAGGGGCTTTCACCCAGCCCCTAGAGCCTGGCACTTTGAACTTGGACTTAAAGCCTCCAAATTGTAAGAATAAACTCCTGTTTGTTCAAGCATCCCATTTGTGGTATATTCCTGTCAGAATGACACTAGGGAACCAGGATACTGGGATACAGTGTAGGCATCTTTGGGACTGTTGTTCTACCTGCCGCAGGCATTGAACAGACCGCTTAACAGGAGCGCAGCATCAGGCAAGCTCCTTAACCTCACTGACTGTAAAACGGGGCCAGTGGTATGACGTTGGAAGACGTTGCTATCCTCTAACATAGCCCATGTCCGTGTAACATGGTACACACGTGAGCACACCAGATGTGCGGCAGTGGTCGTCAGGTACCATCTAGTCACTTGTGACTCCGAGTGACCCCATGTACAGCAGCACAGAACACTGCTCGGTCCTCACCAGCCTCACAGTCACTGCTGGTTTGAGCTCACTGTTGCAGCCGCTGTGTCAATCCATCTTGTTGAGGGTCTTCCTCTTTTTCACTGACCCTCTGCTTTACCAAGCATGATCCCCTCCTCCAGAGACTGGTCCCACAGATGACATGTCCACAGTATGTGAGATGAAGTCTTGCCATCCTTACCTCTAAGGAGCACTCTGGCTATACTTCTTCCAAAACAGATTTGTTCATGTCTCTGGTAGTCCATGGTATATTCAATATTCTTCGCCAACACCGTATTTGAAAGGCGTCAATTCTTCAGTCTTCCTTATTCATTACTACCTTTCACGTGCTTGTGAGGCCATTGAAAATACCATGGCTTGAGTTAGGCACACTTTAGTCCTCAAAGTGATATCTTTGCTTCTTAACATTATGACAAGATCTTTTGCAGCAGATTTGCTCAATGCAGTGTTGTTTGATTTCTTGACTGTTGCTTCCGTGGGTGTTGGTTGTGGATACAAGTACTGTGAAATCCTGACAGTTCCAATGTTTTCTCCATCTGCCGTGATGCTGCTTATCGGTCCAGTTGTGAGGAATTTTGTTTTATGTTGAGGTGTAGTCCATACTGCAGACTGCAGTCTTTAATCTTCATCAGTAATTGCTTTAAGTCATCTTCACTTTCAGCAAGCAAAGTTGTGTCATCTGCATATCACAGGTTGTTAATAAGCCTTCCTCCACTCCTGATGCCGTGTCTTCGTATAGTCCAGATTCTCAGGATTATTTGCCCAGCATACAGCTTGAATAAGTACGGTGAGAGGATATACCCTGACACACACTTTTCCTGATTTTAAAGCAGTATCCCCTTGAATTGACCACAGTATGACAAACTGACAGACAAGAGGTAGGATA